GGTACTAAATTTGGAAGTTCTCCCTCCATTTCTATCTTTTTGAATAAGTTAAGTAATATTGGATGTAGATCTTTTTTAAATGTCTGATAGAATTCTGCTGTAAATCCATCTGGTGCTGGGCTTTTTTTAGTTGGGAGGTTTTGTATTCCTGTTTCAATTTCTTTTTGTGTTATGGGTCTGTTTAAGCTGTTAATCTCTTTTTGGTTTAGTTTTGGTGTTTCCCATGCCTTTAGATATCCATCCATTTCCTTTAGATTTTCAAATTTAATAGCATATAGGGTTTTTTTTTTTCTTTCTTTCTTTCTTTTTTTTTTTTGGTTTAGTTTTGGTGTTTCCCATGCCTTTAGATATCCATCCATTTCCTTTAGATTTTCAAATTTAATAGCATATAGGGTTTTTTTTTTTCTTTCTTTCTTTCTTTTTTTTTTTTGGTCTTTTTGAAACAGGGTCCCCCTGTAACCCCAGCTGTCCTTGAACTCACTATGTTGACGTGGCTGGCCTTGAGCTCACAGAGATCTGCCTGCGTCTGCCTCCCAAGTGCTGGGATTTAAGGCATGTGCCACCACTCCTGGCACATGTAGGTTTTTAAATTATCCCCTTACAATGTTCTGTATCTTTCTGGTGTCTGCTGTGATGTTTCCCCTTTCATCTCTTATTTTGTTGATTTGGAGGTGCTCTTTCTTTCTTTTGGTTAACTGGGCTAGCGGTCTATCAGTCTTGTTTATCTTTTCAAAGAACCAGCTCTTGGAATTGTTGATTCTTTGTATTGTTTTCTTTGTTTCGATTTCATTAATTTCTGCCCTGATTTTTGTTATTTCTTCTTGTCTGCTGGGTTTGGGTTTCATTTGTTGTTGCTTTTCAAGTGTCTTGAGTTGCAATGTTAAGTCATTTATTTGTGTTCTTTCCAATTTTTTGACGTAGGCACTTAGAGCTATAAACTTCTCTCTAAGGACAGCTTTCAGCATGTCCCAGAGGTTTTGTTGTGTTGTATTGTCCTTTTTCATTTAGTTCCAGGAATACTTTTATTTCCTTCTTAATTTCTCTTTTGACCCATTCATCATTTAGGAGTGTGTTTTTAAATCTCCATATGTTCATGTGGTGATTAGGGCTTCTTCTGGTGTTGATTGTAAGCTTTATTGCATTGTGGTCTGATAGAATGCATGGAATTATTTCAATCTTTTTGTATTTGTTGAGGTTTGTTTTGTGCCCCAGTATATGGTCGATTATGGAGAAGATTCCATGGGGTGCTGAGTAGAAAGTATGTCCTTTGGTGCTTGGGTGGAATACTCGGTAGATGTCTGTTAAGCCCATTTGATATATGGTATTGTTTAATTCAGATGTCTCTCTGTTAACTCTCTGCCCTGTTGACCTATCTAATGGAGACAGTGGTGTATTGAAGTCCCCTACTCTTAATGGGTTAGGTTTAATCTGGGTCCTAAAGTCCTGTAGTATTGTTTTTATGAAGTTGGGTGCACCAGAGTTTGTTGAATATATGTTCATGATTGTAATATATTCTTGGTTTGTTGTTCCTTTGATCAGAATGAAGTAGCCCTCTTTGTGTCTTCTGATTAATTTTAGTTTAAAGTCTGTTTTTCCCGATATTAGAATTGCTATGCCTGTTCTTTTCTTAGTACCATTTGCTTGGTATATTTTTTCCATCCTTTCAGTTTAAGATAGTGTGTGTCCTTGAAAGTGAGATGAGTTTCTTGCAGCCAACAAAAAGATGGGTTTTGTTTCTTAATCCATTCAACTAGTCTGTATCTTTTGAGTGGGGAATTCTAGTCCATTGAT